CCTTCTTCATATTATTAGTATTCATAGTGTTCTTTTTACTCTTCTTAATATTCTCATTAATAGTATTGTTATTATTATTATTACTAGTATTATTATTATTATTATTATTATTATTATTATTATTATTATTATTATTATTATTATTATTATTAGATTCATTATTAGTATCAGTATTATTATTATTAGTATTACTACTATTATTATTATTATTATTATTATTATTATTATTAATACTATTAGTATTATTATTATTGATATTATTATTAGTATTATTATTAGTAGTAGCATTATTATTATTATTATTATTATTCCTCCTCCTCCTCCTCCTCCTCCTCCTCCTCCTCCTCCTCCTCTCCTCCTCTCCTCCCTCTACTCCTCCTCACTCCTCCTCCTCCTCCTCCTTCCTCCCCTCCTCCTCCTCCTCCTCCTCCCCTCCTCCTCCTCCTCCTCCTCCTCCCTCCTCCTCCTCGATCTCCTCCTCCCCTCCTCCTCCTCCTCCTCCTCCTCCTCCTCCTCCTCTCCTGCTCCTCCACATCCTCTCCTCCAACTTCCTCCTCCTCCTCCTCTCTCCTCCTCCTCCTCCTCCTCCTCCGCCTCCCCCTCTTTCTGCTCCAGTTCCTCCTCCTCTCCTCCTCCCTCCTCCTCCTCCTCCTCTCCTCCTGCGTCTCCTCCTCCTCTTCTGCTCCAGTTTTTCCTCCTCCTCCTCCTCCTCATCCTCCTCCTCCTCTCCTCCTCCTCCTCCTCCTCTTCCTCCTCCTCCTCCTCCTCCTCCTCCTCCTCCTCCTCCTCCTCCTCCTCCTCCTCCTCCCTGTCGCACCCCGAGGCCGGTCAAAAGGACGGGCCGGGCATTTCGCCAAGACTTTGTCACCACTGATGACCCTGATTCCTGAAAACCCACAATAGTTTCAGAAATGGAGGGCAGATGATTTCCAACATGTGTCTCTCGCGTTAGCGCCGCGCACATTCGCTTGTTTTTTGTTTTAAGAAACATGGAAGAGCTTCACGGATTGAGGGCGGATCGTTTTCAAAAGTGTAGCCCTCGCCTAAGCGCGGCACACATTCGCTGCAAAAAATGATCAAAATGTGGCTATCGCCTCAACGCCGCGAACATTCGTTGCACAAATTTGCAAGGGCTTCATGGATTCAGGGTGGGTCGTCTTCAAAATGTGGTTCTCGCCTCAGCGCCGCGGGCATTCGTTCAACAAAAGGAAAAGAGCTTCATGGACTGAGGGCGGATCGTTTTCGAAATGTGGCTCTCGCCTTAGCGCCGCGCACATTCGTTGCAAGAAATTGCAAGAGTTTCACGGATTGAGGGCGATTTCTTTTCAACATGACGTTCTCGCCTTGTTTTGTTTTGTAACAAATACCAAAAAATACTTCTCATGGCTAACGTACCAAAGGCGGTGTTTGGAACGACTCGGGATTGCCAGGGCGCAACAGTTGCGTTGAGTCGCGGTGTTGAAGTCCCAGGAGTGGTATTCTGGCAAGATTCAGGATCGCCAAAACATCAAAGTCAGGTTAGCGTGTGGCTTTGAAATCCCCAGAATGTCTTGGCACGCTTCAGGATGTTCACACGCTTGTCCCCCAACGGGGTACTTCCTTCAGCGGAAATGACCCCTCCTAGGGGCCTATGAAGAGGGATCTTGGAGGGAGGGTGTATTTCAACATCGCTGATGAGTCTTGGGTTTGCACTTGTCCTCCTCCTCCTCCTCCTCCACCTCTTCTTTCTCCTCGTCCTCCTCTTTCCCCTCCTCCTCCTCCTCCTCCTCCTCCTCCTGCTCCTGGCTTCCTGGCACCATGGATCAGGATCGCACTATCTGTGACCGCCGGCGCGATCGAACGGTGTTTGGCGAAGTTGTGGCATGGGGCTCACGGCTTCCATGCTACCCGACCCCGCAACGATCACACGCGTCGGCAGCGAGGCGGTGCGCAGCATGCCGCGCCAGCACAGGAACAGCCTGCGTGCCCTGTCAGACCAGCTGGTGCTCTTCGACAAAGCTGGCGGCGGCTTCAGACGTGAATCTGCCGCGCTCATATGAGCGACGATCAAAAACGGGTCTTCCGCGAGATGGCTCGGCAACCTTACGCCGCAGCTTACGCGAGCCGCCAGCGCGGCAAGCCACAGTGGAGACTAGGGCGCTTTCGCGCGATCTTACGCGAGCAGATTACGCGCGAATGTCGGCGCAGTCGAACCCATGTATTCGTCCGTCGGTCACATGTTTTTGAAAAAAGGGAATGCGGATCTGGTCGGCCGTGGCCGCAGGAGGACGAGACCGCCCGAGACGAACTACGGTGGGCCACTGCCATGCAGGCGCTGTCGCTGAAGCTCAGGCAAAGCCAGGGACAGGCAAGTCTTCAGGGAGAAGCACAGCGACAACCTGTCTACAAGTGGGCGATTTCGGAAACCCTGAACCCAATAACGCTTTCATGTCTTGGGGGCGCATGTTCTACTTCTGCCGCCTTCCGCCGCCATTCCGCCGGCTTCTGCCGGCGGGGGCGGCGTCGTGATACTTCCGCCGACCTTGCGCCGCCCTTCCGCCGCCTTCCGCGGCGGAAGAGATGACAACTCCTCCGCTCCTCGAAGGAAGGCCATGTTTGGACCGCCCCAAGTGTATTCCTGACTCCAGGGGCAGCTGCGGCATCGATTGCCCCGAGGACGAGCTCTGGCCCTCGCCTTCGACTTCCTCCTCTTCCGCTCCCCTCCCCTCAGGCTGAGAATTTGTCTGTTCATCCTGATTTTCCCTGGGCTGCTGAAGGACAGCCGGGCGACTCCAGAGCGCCAGCGCCAGTGCATTCAGCAGCCGCGCACTGCAGCCGATGTACTGTCCAGGAACGGTTCGAACTGACTGTGATTGATGCGAGCTCTGGCTGATTGCGGGAGCCTCGTCGCGCGCAGTCGGACGTTACAGGAAGGGCTTCCACGGAGGCATAAGCGCTGCTGACGAACAAAAGAAGCAGGGGGGAAGAGGGGAGGAGGAGGAGGAGGAGGAGGAGAAGGAGGAGGAGGAGGAGGAGGAGGAGGCGGAGGAGGAGGCGGAATAGGAGGAGGAGGAGGAGGAGGAGGAGGAGGCGGAGGAGGAGGAGAAGGGGGAGTAGAAGAAGGAGAGGGAGGAGGAGGAGGAGGAGGAGGAAGAGTAGGACAAGCAGCAGGAGGAGGAGGAGGAGGAGAAGGAAGAGGAGGAGGGAGGAGGAGGAGAAGAAGGAGGAGGAGGAGGAACGGCCGGATGCATGAACGATGCCGCAGCACAGTCCCAAGCCCCCTCCTCACGGGTCCCTGCAATCATCCTTTTCACTCCGGGGCACATCCCCTTGCAAGACGAGCGCCCCGTGGGCCTTCCATTCAGGCGAGAGCCCCCTTCTGAGAATGGATCCCCCCTTCAACTTCTAGCTGCAAGGAGGCTGTTTTTGGCGTCGGTGAAGGCCTGGGTGATCCGTGGGGGGGGAAGGGTCGGCCGATAATCTAACCTTCGCGCTGTGGGCAGCCCCGCATATGCCCACGCGCACCCGTGCTGCGGCCCCAGAAGCTGCTAACGATGCTGCTGTTCGTGCTGCGACGATGCGGGCGCCGTCTGGGAATGGCCAAGGCTATGTCTGGACAGCACGCATTGGGATGCGCGGGCGCGGCGTATGAGCTCCCTGGCCCCTCCGCCTCCAGACCTGCTCAACCGACAATTGGGACGCAGCGCCGAGGTATGCGCACATGTAAGCCCGTAGGTCGCAAGGAATTGTCCAGCGAGAGCACTGCATTGAGAAGGAGTTGTCCTGCATCCGCGAAACCACCGCACACGATGCACGAGCCAACAAATACATATTGATACCATCTCACGAGAGAACCCCATGTTGAAAGGGAGCAGTCCTCCATCCGTGTCCTTTGCTGAAGCGTTTAAGACGGGCAGCCAGGCGAGAGTCACACTCTGAAAGCAACCTGCCCTCCATCCTTGCAAGGATTGGAAGCTCGAAGACGACTGGGCGAAGCGCGAAAGGCGAAAGGCGAAAACAAGACTTGAACAACGATGCGTCCTCATTCCGTGTGGTTGCTGCAACATTTTGAAACGACGGCGCGCGAAGCGAAGACGACAGTACTGTTTTGAAGACGGCCTGCCTTCCACCCAAGAAAACGCCAGCAATGTCCAGCTTCGAGATCGCAGTGGGGTCTCACGCGACATGCGGACCGTCCTACCCGACACGCCGAGTGGAGCCACGAGGAGGACCTACTGGCAAATATGCAAGATGGAGTTGTTGTGGAGCGACCTAAAGTCAAATGTATATAAATAATCATTCAGAATCGAAGAACCCCTCATCCTCAACTCCTTGGAAGGCTTACGCGAGGCCTCGCCCAGCGCCCGAACCGTGTCCTGGTCGCACTCCGCAAGAGGGATGGAGTGAGGAAGGAGGGACGACCGGCGATGGAGGAGCAGGCAGGGAGGCAGAGGCAAAGGCAAGCAAGGGAGGCGGGGGAAGGAAGGCGTGGGGAAGGAATGGCACCTCAACTCGTAGGTAGATCGACCATGCAATGATCGGCAGACACTGAGGCTGGGGCTTATGTGGGGAGAAAGGTACGGCGATCTTCTTGAAGACGTGGCGCAGAGCCTTCTCTAGGTCGTCCACAGAGATGCCTTCGTCCCTGATTGGAGTCCCAAAGATTCGACTGATCCTTCCGGCCACGGACGAGGTGGTGAACGGGGAGGGAGGGGAAGGGGGAAGAGTGAAGAGGCGGAGGAGGAGGAGGAGGAGGAGGAGGAAGAGGAGGAGGAGGAGGAGGAGGAGGAGGAGGAGGAGAAGGGGGAGTAGAAGAAGGAGAGGGAGGAGGAGGAGGAGGAGGAGGAGGAGGAGGAGGAGGAGGAGGAGGAGGAAGAGTAGGACAAGGAGCAGGAGGAGGAGGAACCGTCCCGGTCCCGGGGAAGGGGTCCAGGCCCCGTGATGAAACCCACGCACTCACGACGTCGGGGGCCGGAGAGCGGCCTCTCCCGAGGCCGAGGTCGACGAGCACGGGGCCGCCGAGGCCCAGCGGCACGGGAAGACGTGCGGCAGCACGGCAGAATTAGGTCGGGCCTGTCCCCCTGCAGGGGGGTTGTGAACGACAACAAAAAAATACGCAACAAATGCTCAAAGATGCTCAAAAGTAGTAAAAGAAAAAAAAAAAAAAAACAAAAAAAAAAAAAAAAAAAAAAATGACCCCAGACTATGTTTGGACTATTTTTGAATATGTTTCCTGTAGAGGGACAGGCCCAACTGAATGGCAGAACTCGATGTGGAGCCCTGGGCCCCACTTTCCTGCAACGCCCGTCGGGCCAGATCGATCCCCAAGCATGCGACGTCCTGCTTTTCTCAGGACGGCGTCCCCGGAAGTCCCGACCCTTTCCCCAGGACCGGTTTGTCGTCCCCGGTCGTTTTCTGACGGTCCTGGGGCCCGGCGAGGGCCCCCCGGGGCCGAAAGTAGCGAAAAACTGGCCGTCCTGAATTTTTCACGACGCGATCATGTCTGGGTCTGTGAGGGCTCCCGAGCCCGGAACGAGGCAGCGGCGGCCGCGGCGCAAAAGAAAACAATGCGACGCCAAATGCCCCAGCGGGCGGACGAACGCCCCCCCCGCTGAGATATCCCCAGACATGCGACGTCCTGCTTTTTGCCAGGGCGGCGTCCTCAGACATCGGGCGTCTCGAAAAAATCGAGACGAAGGTTTTTCATAGTTTTCGGCCTCTCGGGGCCCTCGCTGGGCCTCGTGACCGTCAAAAAACGACTCGGGATGAAAAACCGGTCCCGGGGAAGTGGTCGGGAGGTCGGGGGCCCGCGTCTCGAAAAAATCGAGACGTCGGATGCCTGGGTCACCTGGCGTCCCGACCCCTTCTCGGATGTCTGGGTCACCTGGCGTCCCGACCCCTTCCCCCGGGCCGGCATGTCGTCCCGAGCCGTTTTCTGACGGTCCCGGGGCCCGGCGGGGGCCCCCCGGGGCCGAAAAGAGCGAACAACAACAACGGCGCGACATCACCTCTGGGCTCCCATCTGGGCCCCCAGGGGCCGAAAATGGCGGAAAACCTTCGCCCGGATTTTTTCTCCCACGACGCGATCATGTCTGGGGAGGTCTGCAGCTCCAGACCCCCGACGTCATGACTTTTTCGTAACGTCGACCCCCAAAGGTCTCGATCCATGCCCCAGGACCGGCTTCTCAGTCTGTGTCGTTGTTTGAAGGTCCCGAGGCCCGGCGAGGGCCCCCTGAGGCCGAAAATGGCGAAAAACTGGCCGTTCTGAATTCGTCATTGCTCGAGAGGGTCTGGAAGTCTGGCTCTGCGCGCACGGCCGCGCACGCGCCGCGGGGCCGTCGGCGGTGCCGCGCCGGGGCCTCCCCCCGCAGGGCCGCGCACCAGGCGGGGGGAGGAGGCGCTGCGGCCCCCCGCCTCGAGCCAGGACCAGGAGGTCGACTGCCGGCTGTCGGCGATCGCCCCGGTCAGCGGGTGCGGAACGAGCGCGACCCCCGAGAGCCTGGCGCTGCACTTTCCTCACAACGGGCGTTTGCGCGCGATTTTCGGGCCCCGGGACCCTCACAGGTCGATCCGGCTCGAAAAATGACGCAGACAGATGGGGTCCAGGGCTCCTGACGTGATTGTCTGCGATGTTGCAGTTTTTGCTGCAACGTCGGATCTCAGGGATGGAAGGTTGTTCGCCCTTTTCGGCCTCCGGGGGCCCTCGCCGGGCCTCGGGGCCGTCAAAGAGCGGCTCAGGATGAGAAGCCGGGCCCGGGGAAGGGGCCCAGCAGACCTCTGGGGGTCGACGCTGCGACAAAAGTCACGACGTCGGGGATCTGGGCAGGGAGGTGGCGGCCGATAGAGCCCGACCTTTTTTTCGCTTTGGGCAGCCAGCCCCACGTATGCCCGCGCGCACCAGCACTGGTCCAGTTCTCCGGGGAGGCAGGGATATCGGGCCCGATATACCCCGGGCCATCGCTGGGCCCTTGGACAAAAGACCGAATCTCCAGCACGGCTGGCAGGCAGGCGAACTGGTAGGCGGCCACCTGCGGGGCCCACCCCTGCAGGCCAGAGCTCTGGAAAGCGCTGGCCGGGGCTCACAAGCCAGAGGATGTCTGCAGCCCAGTGCACCCCAGCGGGGGCGTCCGGCAGCCCCTGCGTCGACTGGACCCGCAGGGGGAGGGGTTCGCACTCGGCCGTGCCCCAGCTGCGGAGGCCTCGGGGGCTGCCGCGCCTCCCACGCACGGACAGCTGCCCGCGCTGGAGGGGAGTTCGGCCTCGAGGGGCCCCGCGGCGCAGTGGGGCCAAGTCTTGCCGTCGTCTCTCCGGGGTCGAGGAGGAGGCCTTCGGACGCTCTCGGCCCTGGTCGGGCCTCCGGGGGCCTCCAGAGGCCTCCGAGGATCCGGATCTGGGGCGGCAGCAAGACTGACCAACTCCGCTGTGCCGTGGTGGATGCACACCCGCAGCACCACCAACAGACATCGCGATCCGAGATGTGCGGATCTGGGAGCAACTGAATTCTTTGCGTACCAGCCCTTG